AGAAACAAAGGGAGACATTTGGATGGTCACTATTCATGGTTAAGTCATGACAGTATTGCTTAAATGAATTTATTACACTCACAATGTATATTGTTCTCTTGCTTCTGCTAATCTCACTCTGTTTTGTTTATATAAACCATGCCAATCAATTCATCAAGGGAATTTTTTTTAATTGACAAAACAATATGAGTATGCATTTGGAAGAACACCAGGTCTAGAATCTCAAAGAAAAAAATAACGAAGTGATATATGAATGAAGGGGGCATAGCATTACCCAGCCTTAGACTTAACATTATAAAGCCATGGTCTTCAAAAGTGTTTTGTTACTGGTTAAACAAAAGAAAAAGAAAATCAGGCCATTGGAGCAGACCAATAAATAAGAAACAAAAGCAATAAAAAATAATAAGCCACTGTTTGGGTAACCTAAGAACATGAATTGTCTTAGGTCACTAAAGGGAAGTCTCCCTTTTTGACAAGAGCTGCTGTGAAAATTAGAAAGCAATTGGGCAGAAATTAGTTTTAGATCAACATCTCCCTTACTCTACCTTTCTTCTAATTCCTTTCTTTCTCTTTCTTTCTTTCTTCTCTTCTTTCCCTCCAATTTAACATTCAGTCCCTCCAGATCTAACATTCTGTAATATAAACTCAGAATAGATAAACAGCCTGAATACAAAGGGTCACACCATGAAAAATGAGAAGAGAACATCAGGTATAATTTACAATAGCAATGGACAGAATTCTTTTTTTAAAATTATTATTATTACATTGATTTCAAAAGTATTTTTTTTGTTTTTTTTTAATATTTCTTTTTTTTATCAATTTCTTTTAATTTATCAACTATCACTTCCATAAGCTTTTGAGTTTTAAATTTTTCTCCCCCTCCCTCCCCGCCTACCTCCCTAAGATGGCACACAATCTGATATAGGCAATACATATACATTCCTATTAAATATATTTTCACATTAGTGATGTTATAAGGAAGAATTAGAACCAATAGGAGGAACCACCAGAAAGAGGAAACAAAACACAACAGAAGAAAAAAAATAGCAAATAGTGTGCTTCAATCTGCATTCAAACTCCATAGTTCTTTCTTTGGATGTGGATAGCATTTTCCATCATAAGACCTTTGGAGATGTCTTAGTTCCTTGCATTGCTGAGAAGGGGTAAGACTATCAACGTTAGTGCATAGCATGACTGTTACTGTGTACAGCATTCTCCTGGTTCTGCTCACTTCACTCAGCATCAGTCCATACAGGTCTTTCCAGGTTTTTCTGAAGTCCGCCTGCTCATCATTTCTTTTTTTTTTCTTTTTATTAATTTCTTTTAATTTATCAACAATCACTTCCATAAGCTTTTGAGTTTTAAATTTTTCTCCCCTCCCTCCTTCCCTCCCTCCCTCCTTCCCCAAGATGGCACACAATCTAATATAGGCTATACATTCCTCTTAAACATATTTTCACATTAGTAATGTTGTAAGGAAGAATTAGAACTAATAGGAGGAAGCACCAGAAAGAGGAAACAAAACACAACAGAAGAAAAAAAGTAGCAAATAGTATGCTTTGATGTGCATTCAAACTCCATAGTTCTTTCTTTGGATGTGGATGGCATTTTCCATCATGAGGTTTTTGGAGATGTCTTAGATCCTTGTATTGCTGAGAGGGGTTAAGTCTATAAAAGTCAGTCATCACTCAATGTGGCTGTTACTGTGTACAACATTCTCCTGGTTCTGCTCACTTCACTCAGCATCAAACCATAAAAGTCTTTCCAGGTTTATCTGAAGTCTGCCTGTTCGTCATTTCTTATAGCACAGTCGGATTCCATTACATTCATATATCATATTCACAATTATGATTACTATCTGTGTCTTTCTCTCCATCCTCCCCCACCCCCCCGTTATTTTGGTGTGTGGTGTAAGATTTTGGTCTATGCCTGGTTTCTTTCATATTCTTTTCCAGTTTTCCCAGCAGTTTTTGTCAGATAATAAGTTCTTATCCCAGAAGCTGGGGTCTTTGGGTTTATCAAATAGTAGATTACTCTGTGTCTTGCATACCTAACCTATTCCACTGATTCATCACTCTGTTTCTTAGCTAGTACCAGTAGTTTTGATGCTTGCTGCTTTATAATACAATTTAAGATCTGGAATGGCTAGGCCACCTTCCTCTGCATTTCTTTTCATTAGCTTCCTTGATATTCTGGGCCTTTTGTTATTCCAAATGAATCGTTACTATTTTTTCTAGCTCTATAAAATAATTTTTTGGTAATTTGATTGGTATGGCACTGAATAAGTAAATTAGCTTAGGTAGAATTGTCATTTTTATTATATTAGCTTGACCTACCCATGAACAACTGATGTTTTTCCAATTATTGAGATCTGACTTTATTTGAGTAAAAAGTGTTTTGTAATTGTGTTTGTATAGTTTCTGGGTTTGTTTTGGTAGGTAGTCTCCTACATATTTTATAATGTCTACAGTAACATTAAATGGAATTTCTCTTTCTATCTCTTGCTGTTGGGCTTTGTTGGTAATACATAGAAACACCGGTGATTTATGTGGGTGTATTTTATAGCCTGCAACTTTGCTAAAGTTGTTCATTATTTCAAGTAGTTTTTTACTTGATTCTCTAGGATTCTCTAAGTAATATCTTCATATCATCTGCAAAGAGTGATAGCTTTCTTTCTTTTTTGCCTGTTCTAATACCTTCAATTCCTTTTTCTTATTGCTAAAGCTATCATTTTCAGTATGATATTGAACAACAGTGGTGATAATGGACATCCTTATTTCACCCCTGATCTTAGTGGAAATACTTCTAGCTTGTCCCCATTACATATGATGCTTGCTGAAGGTTTTAGGTAGATGCTGCTTATTATTTTAAGGAAGACTTCATTTATTCCTATGCTCTCTAGTGTTTTTAATAGGAATGGGTGTTGTATTTTTATTCTTAACTAAATGAAAGATAGGGGTAGTTGTTAAAAATTAGAAAGTTAATTTTGACCATTAAATTTAAAAGTATTTGCTTGAATAAAATCAGTCAAGGCAGTTAGAAGGCTAACGGTATAGTGGGGAAAATATTTTTATCAGATATCAAATGAAAGTCTAATAGCCAAAATATTCAGGAAAGTAACACATCTGTATAACAAACACCAAGACCCATTCCACATTAGAGAGATAGAATATACAAACATTTTCAAAAGAAGAATTCCAAATAGTAAATTACTATGTGAAAACATGCTGTAACTCACTAACAGGAAACAAGTAGTTTCACTTCACACCTTACAAATTGTTAAAAAGATGAAGATAGGAATAAGCTAATATTGGAGGGAATTTGGGAAGATAGGCACACTAATGTACTATTGGTGGAGCTGCTAAATAATCCATTTAATTCTGGATTTCAATTTGGAATTTTGACAGTGATCAATACCTCCAAGGAAGGCAAACATAGACACAAAAGTCCCAATATATGCCAAAATATTCGTAGCAGCACTCTTTTTGCTTGAAAAGAACTTAGAAAAAAGTGAGTATCCATCATTTGGGGGAAAGGGAAAAACTAGTATTTGGATGTAGTGAAATATGATAATAGGAAGAAATGACAAAATGAGAAATTCAAAGGAGTATGAGGTTTATATAAACAAATAAAGAGTGAGATTAGCAGAAGCAGGGGAACAATATACATTGTGACTACAATTGAAAAAAATCATTAAAAGGAAATTGAACTCTGAATAATGGGAAATCCAATGAAGGTATCAGAAAAGAGATAATGAAATACACTTTTCTCCTCATGGTAGAGAGATAGGTCTACTAAGAGAAGATATTAACATTAGTGTTAGACATGGTTTCTATATCAGGTATTTTGCTTTTCTCTTTGTTTTAAGGGAAGATTCAGTCTGGAAGAGGATAGGAAATGATTTCTGTAAAGACCAAAAAGCATCAATAAAATTTATGTTAACATAAAATAAGGGGGTTCAACTAGATGACCTTTGAGGTCTAAATCCTATGATGTCACCCTGTCATGTTACCTTCCCAACTCTAAATTTATGACCCTGTGACTTGCTGAGAGGTCCTGGGTAATTTACTGTGTTTCAGCATTGTGATATGCCAATTCATATTTGTAATTGCCCATGTGTGCTGTTGCTCTGTACTTTCCTTTCCCTTAGGGGCTTTTATAGTTTTAAAGACCAGTGCTCAGACTAAAATACCCATTTTAACCTTTAATTCTTCTGTGAAATAAATCTACTATAATATGTAAACTTATGCAAGTCACTATTTGAGTCTTAATATCCTTATTAAACAATAATAATAATAATGATACCTGTACTATTTGCCTCATTGGCTTATTGAACATCAGATGGTATAAGTACCTTCTGTGAGTAATATATAGCAATAATGTAAAGTGCTTTTTTTGATCTATTTTTACAGTAATAATAAATTACTCCTTAAGTTAGGCTTTAGAAATCTTTAAAAGCTGCCTGACATTTTCTTTATCTGTTCTTCCTACCCAGGGTGTGGGATAGACTGGGATTTGTGTAGAATGACCCCATTGGACAGGCTTCCATGTTGTGGTGCTAGTGCTCTGGGTTTGAAGGGCCCTTGCCTCTAATGTTATTACTTTTCCTTCTTAGAGAAGTACATGTTTCCCTGTAATCCAAAAGGCACGTTCTTGCTTGCCCATTGCATAGTGATGATTCACCTATCATGGCAGTGAATGTGAAATATTATGAATGTTTTTGTGTATCATTCTTCAGTTTTTATTTAAAATATGTGTAGTTACTGTTACCTTACTAGTTATGAATATATGAACTTTGGATCATTTCTTTAAATGCCAGAGCTAGAATATATCATATTACTCATGGGCTTTATTTTTACGTGATGAGCCACATCTTAGTATGCTAGCACACTTGTTAACACAGTGTTATACATAAGTAGGACACAAAGGATCTTCTAATATGCTTTTTTCCATTGCTCTAGCTCACTGTAATACTGATTTATGCTCTTGCTTTCTCAAAGGTTATTTGTGCTTGTACATGGAAAAGGATGAACTTCTGGGGACGACACTCATCCTTGCTTGGGTCCCTAACTCCAAGATCCAAAGGCAAGATGAAGAAGCCCTGCGCTATATCACTCCTGAAAGCTCCCCCGTGCGCAAGGCCCACAGCAAACGAGGCCGTCATGCTCAGGGCTCTGGAGAGCCTCATCAGCCCTCCCCAATGGAGCAAAGATACCCTCTGACCCCTAAGGATGAGGATGTATTGGTGGTAGCCCAGAGTTTCCAAGATACTGTCCACATAAGTTCCTCATTAGAAGATGGGGAAAAGCTATCCCAAGGCTTGGGGACAGACAGCCCTATCCAAGCTACCCAGCCTGTCCATAGTGACTCAGGAATCTTATCTACTGTCAGTTCTCAGGATGAGCCAAACAGGTCTGAATTGTCAGTGGATGATACAGAGGAGGGACCAGAGTTGAGGCCAGAGCCTGGAGAAGAGGAAGGCTCTTTAGAGCTCTCTGCTGACGATGTGAGCAGGGATAGTACTTTTGATTCTGATTCTGATGCCTTTTCTTCACCCTTCTGCCTCTCGCCAATAAGTGAAGCCCTTGCAGAGAGCAGCAGTTCTGTTTTTCTGGATGATGAAAACAGGTGAGTTGTTTGAAATCTATTCTTATTTCCAGAGGTGGGCTGTATATGTGGTAGCTATATATCCTGGGACAATCCCAATTTAAAATATTATATTCTGTTGTATTCATAAACCAGATGACCAAAATAATCTTTTATTCCATCACATGTTCTGATTTTTGGTCTGGAAAATATAGTTATTATATCTATATGAGGTCTAGGCTTGGAACATTTAATGGAAGTAGAAGTTCGTCACTTGCCAGGAATAGTTAACTTCTTATTCCTACTTTTTCACCCTTCTGGCACACACGACTGCCACTGATATCATTAAGCATGGTTGCTATTCTCATATTCTATTCACTTCAGGCTCCCAATTAAGGGAGGAGTATTAATAAGTACACACAATAAGAAGTATTTGTGTTCATGACTAAGATGATGAAGTCCTATGATGCTACGCTACAAGGTAGAGTTTCAGTTTCCTCTACTGAAAGTACAGATTATCTCGTGGGCCACCTGGAAAATATCTCCAATACACATACCCAGTAAGTCTGTAATGTTTAGTGAAAAGCTTTTTGAGCCGACCTCTTGTCCATCTCGCTGATTTGTCTGAGTCTGGGTGTGGGGCTGTGCCACCTTGCAACTTGTTTGGGCACATGGTCAAAGCCTGCTGGTAGGTTTAGGAACTTTTTGATTTCTGGCATCTTCTCTGCTGTATAAGATTGGAACATAGTCCTAAAGAGCATATTTGTGGCATTTTCCTACTTGGAGCTGGCTGGTCACTGATAACACCTGATTTGGTATAGCACATTAATATTCTTGAAGCAATATTGTATCAAAAAAGATAGAGCACAGGCAGTATTTAGTGGTGTGTTTGATCTGTGTTGCACAAATTAAACTGGTTCATCATGGTAGGCTGATCTCTCAATGTTTTCAGGTCTGTGTCTGTTAGAATACAAGTAAACCTGGCCTGATTTTGGAGGGATGTTAGTAATATAACTGTGCCCATCATCAAACTTAAAGCAAGATGATGGCCTTATTGTACACTAAAAAGAGGAAATTCTCTAAAACTTTTCTAATATTTGTAATGTTCTCTAATACTTGTAATAGTTGACTGGTTTAAGTGCAAAATGAAAAACAGATACCCACTGGATTTCTCTCCTTGTTCCAAATACAGTTTGAAAGAATAAGACTAGAGCAAGAAAAGAATAGGAACAGACTTGTAGAGAAATTTATAGACAAATGTAGTATGATAGAATTTGAGAAGTGGTTACAGTCCTATTTAGTACCACCTCAATTTACTGAACCTCATTAAAACACATTGCTTGGTGAATGGTTTTCTTCCATTGTAGCTCTTTTGTTGTTGTTTAGTAGTTTAGTCATGTCTGACTCTTGTAACCCCATTTGGGGTTTTCTTGGCAAGGATACAAGAGTGGTTTGCCATTTCCTTCTCTAGTTCATTTTACTGATGAGGAAATTTAAGTAAACAGGGTTAAGTGACTTGCGCAAGGTCACACAGCTAATAAGTGCCCGAGGCACTCACTGCTCCAGGGACCATGTTTAGGTTTATTGATTTGTATTGTATGTCATTCTCTGCATTTGTGACTTTTTGAGGTGGCTTGTATTAAAACAGAAACATGCAGATGTAGTATTAGTAGATTTCCATAAGGTTGCTGTCAGGTGGTACCACAGCAGCACCTCACTTATCCACCTCTCAAGGCTGCTGACTCAAAGCCAGTTGTCATACTATGCATATTTGTGTAAGGACACTTAAGGCTTCTATACTTTAATGCTTCATTTATTTCTGGGTTTTGTTTTTTTTTTGGCTAGGCAGTGGGGTTAAGTGACTTGCCCCAGAGTCACACAGCTAGTATATTTCTGTTTTTGCCTCTAAGATTCCCAACTCCATCTGCAGATTTAATTAAATCTAGTTCCTTTGAGTGATCATTTGTGTCTGTTTGGAGCCTTTGGATTGATGATGTGCAAATTCTGAAAAAGGTTTGGAAGACTTGAAATAAACTCCAAATGATGGGAGAGGGTTTTTATCAATTAACTTAGGGGGATGGTGAAAAATTAAAATTAATATGACTCTACAAACATAATAAGTCCCATAATACTGTAGAAAACGTACCAGTAATTTCAGGTATTGCTTTAAAGTTGAGAGGGTCTGAATTGCATCAGTCAACAGTCCCCAGTATATTAAGCATCTTTTTGTATTTGGTACCAACTTCTTTCAAAAAAATCTTATTTTTATTTCTGAATATTTCCTTCCTCCATCCCTGCCCTGCAAACTATCTCTTTTTAACAAAAAAATTTTTTAAAAAGAAAAAGAAGAAATTCTGCAAAACGAGCCAACACACTCAGTCAAACAATATATTCACTATTCCACACACAGGCCCTTACATCTGGACAAAAGAGAGGGAGGTACATTTTTTTCAACTCTTCTTCAGGTCTAAGCATGGGCATTATAATTACCTAATGTTGAGTTTCATTTCATGTTTTCCACTTGCACTGTAGTCTTTGGATATAATTTTTCTTCTAATTCTGCTTACTTAACTTTGTTGTTATTGAGTCATTTTTTCAGTCCTGTTTGACTCTTTGTAACCCCATTTGGGGTTTTCTTGGTAAAGAAACTGGAGTGGTTTGCCATTTCCTTCTCCTGCTCATTTTACAGATGAGGAAACTGAGGCAAACAGAGGTAAGTGAATTAATTGCCCAAGGTTACACAACTAGTAAGTGACTGAGACCAGATCTGAACTCAAGAAGAAGTCTTTCTGACTTCAGGACTGACATTCTATCCATTTTGCCACTGGGCTGCCCCCCTTTACTCAACTTTGCATCAGTTCATATAAGTCTTCCTATACTTCCAAAACTATATTCTTCATATTCATCATTATGACATGTAGTAATATTCTGTCATATTCAGTAATATTCCAATAAATATAGTAATATTCCATTATATTCAGGGACCAGTTTCTCGAGTATCCATTCTTTAATTGCTGAGCATTTATTTTGCTTCCATTTTTTTGCTAACACAGGATAGTGCTGTTATGAATATTTTTGTGTATATGGAACCTTTTTTTCTGTCTCTGACATCCTTTACGATATTTAGCAATGGGATCTCTGGAACAAAAGAATATGGATATTTTAGTTACTTTTTCTGTGTAATTCCAAATTGCTTTCCAGAATGGTTGGGAAAATTCCCAGCTTTAGTAGCAGTGTATTGACACATATTAAATGATTTTTGTTGATTATTTATCAGAGAAACTAAAGTAACTGAAACTTAATAAATTTAACTTTAAAAAAATTAACCAAACTGTACTTCAGAATACAAACTGTGAAGATGAGACACAGAATACAAAACATGATTTTTTTTTTGTGATATTATAATGTGCCTTGGCACATCCAGGACTCCTTAAACTGCATACCTATTAGTTGACCTCTAAGAGCTTTCCAGTACCTATATTCTGTGATTCATGTGAATCTTCTGGCTTCTAGGAGAGTGTTCTTTCTGCCATACCCATACTGCCTTCTCCATAAAATCTTAGCTGTTGATTCGTACTGTGTTGAAAAGGGAGATTGACGAAATATTTCATTGTGTTAGGACCTAATGGAGCCCATGCCGCCCAAATATCTCCGTAAAGCTCTAAAATGAGAAATGTCTAATCTAGAAGAAGAGAGTAACTTCACCAAAAGTCTAATTAGAACCTCAGAAGGAGGGAAAATGTCCTAGCCACAGGGATTGCAAGAGTACATGGAAGAAATACAAAATAAACAAGAGATACAAAATGGAATAACTAGGAAAGGAGGAATGGTGAGGAAAATTAATACCTTAGACCTTGCATTGACAAACCTTACCTGAAAATTAGAATAGGACATTCAGAAAACAATAGTTTAATGAGTCAAGGCATATTAAAACCAAATCAAAAGATTAAAATATATATGTATATGTGGAATATAATGATATATATTATCATTATATATTATAATATATGTATATTTTATTTGTACATGCATATATGTACACATACATAATGGAATGTAATAGCAAAAATAACTGGCCTGGAAGCCAGATGAAGGAGAGATAATTTATGAAAAATCATAGTCCATGAAAATCATGACCAAGCAGCAGCTTTGGTACCACATTTCAACAAATCAGAAATCAAAACTGCTGAGATCTCTTAGAACCAGAAGGCAAAGTGAAAAATTGAAAGATTATATTTGTTACCTTCTGAAAGAAAATTCCACAGTTAAAACTCAGAAAAACATCATAGCCAAATCCATTACTTTAAAAAAACAAAACAAAACAAAACAAAATGCTACAGGCAGCCAAAATGGAAAGTGTTTAGGTACCAAGGAGCCACAGTCGGGATCTCACAATACTTGGCAGTTGACACTGTGAAGCAGAAAAGAGCTTGGAGGATCATGTTTCAAAAGGCATACATTAAGAACCTACAACTAACAGTAACCTCGCAAGCAAAATTGAATACAGGGGGGAAATGAGCATTTAATGAAATAGAGGATTGCCAAGCATTTCTGATGAAAAATACAAGAACTGAGTAGAAACTTTGAAATGGAAACACAGGAGTCAAGAGAAACATAGAAAGGTACACACTTTGATTAGCTGGAAGGCACTTTGTGGGAATGAGGAGTAGCCAGGTGGCACAGGGAATAGAGTGCCAGTACTGGAGTCAGGAAGACTCATCTTTTTTTTTTTTTTCAATTAATTTAATTTGAATTATCAACAATCACTTCCATAAGCTTTTTGAGTTTTAAATTTTTCTCTACCTCCGTCCCTATCTCTCTCCCCAAGAAAGTGTATAATCTGATATAGGCTATACATATACATTCGTATTAAACATATTTTCACATTAGTGATTTTGTAAGGAAGAATTATAACCAATAGGAGGAACCACAGGAAAGAAAACAACACAAAACAGAAGAAAAAAATAGCAAATAGTATGCTTTGATCTGCATTCAAATTCTGCAGTTCTTTTTTTGGATGTGGATAACATTTTCTGTCATGA